CTGACACTTGTTGATGGCCCAGCATTGAAATCTGCGGCAATTTGTGGAAGGGTTGCACTTTTGTCACGTGTAATTATTCTTCTCATTCGTCTTCTTGCAGGATCTTTTTGCGGCCACAGCGATGCCGAAGGTTTAATGTTTTATCGGATTCTCGATATTCACAGTACATTCGTGAAATGGTCGTACGAGAAAATCCCAATTTCATCGCGACCTCGGAGATACTATACCCCGTCTCTCTTGCGCCGACTATAATACCACGTTCAGACTCACTTAAATCGTGATAACATGCCATTGTAGCAGCAGTAACCAATCTAACAAGTGTGTTAGACTCTCGTTGATATTATATAATAATTGCCGACCGGAGCGCCATATTCTGATTTGTTTTAGATCTCTTGGTTTTAATACGCATGTCTGTACCAGATGTTTGGTTCTTCAGTGTAAATTGCTTATGATATAAATATTATAGGCTTGTAAAATGTTCGTAAATATTTTGTATCATGTGAAAATTTTGAAAGTCTAGACGTTTTAGTGAAAACGACATTTGTGTCTCGTGATTCAGTGCTTTGAGGTATATCCGTGCAAAATGTGTATAGAAACAATCAAAGGTATTGCTGTGAAAAGAGTCAATTGTTTAGTATTTTTGGAAAATTGGCCAGATGTTTGAAAATTTCACGAAAAGCAAGAGCTAGTGAAAGAAGTGAATTTGCCATCATTTTAGTTGGCTAAACATGTTCTACCTTTAATAATGAAATTGAAGGAAAGATTCGAAAAAATGAACTATTGTAATTTTCAAAAATGTAATGAAAATCGTGCTTGTGCCATATTTATATACTTCCTTTGCAAACACGAAAATATCCTAAGAGGCATATTTATGAAGTAACCTCAAACATTAAAAGATCAGATCATCAAAAGATCACTAAAAGATCAAATTTGCAGAGCCTAAAGTTCAGCCAGATCAACTCTCGAATATCCAGTGCAGGGTTTAGAAGCTATAGTTGTGTATGACAGACGATTTAGAAAACAGTATCAGAGACTTCTAAAATGTGTACTTCCATCAATAGTTTCAAAATATTTCTTTCCGTTTTTTCATATATTTCTCAATGCTAATAGTACATGATAGGCTAATGTCTGAATCTGAATAATTCGCAAATTATCTGATTAATGGTAACATTATCCAGACGATCCCTAGTGTGCAAAGTTCCAAATACATAAAATCCTTAAGCGTATTTCAAGCTTCTGTCGGATGAAGTGCACAGTACCCGACATGAGGCCAGGTGAATACGTTACAATGACGAGGATATTTTTTGTCATATAATAAACAGGAATTAGGCTGCAGTTAGGAAGGTTTAACCTGCTGGTTATACTTTGCCAAAAAGTGCTCTCGAATTGGCTTGCCAAAGCGACATTGCTATTGTCAATCCCCTGGCCAGTTTATTTGTTCTATCGCCGCAAGCGTTAGTAATTTTAATTGCTCTGCGCCCCATAAATAGTGAAAAAGCTTGTTTTTCAGGACGTTGCCCCAGCGTTGCAACAGAATTTGTTACAAGTACTGACATGTTTGTTCAGGAATGTGCAATACAGCATTCGCAAAATCTTCCGATATGGCAGATATAAGCGATTTTTCTGAAAAGCGTAATAATCAACAGCATCTTAATTCGCTGATTTTATGTTATGAGCTAAAAATGTAAATCTATGGAATATTTTCACTGGCAGTCTACAGCATTTTGTTTCATGGTTATTGAAGAAGTAATATTTATTTACCGATAGTGTGGACTATTGAGGATGAAATTTATCGAAATGATAAAGATAGGCCAGTCCTCTGGTAAATAACTGTAAATTATTTTAAAATCGCAGAATGCGAAATGCATTAGTTTGTGAAATATCATTTTTTGCTTCGTCTCAGGCAGGCTGATATCTCATGGGAAAAAAATTAAAAAATGCAACTTTCTGAACAGATTAAGAAAGCCAACCCTATATGATGATAATGATAATGATGATAATACTAATAATAATAATAATAATAATAATAATAATAATAATAATAATAATAATAATAATAATAACAGCAACTACATCATCGATTAATAAGATAAAATTTGGTGAAAGGTATATTAGTACCAAACTAGGGACGAACTTTATAAAAACACTGAAACTATTCAAAATAATTCAAGATGACGCTACACTGAAAGGCACTAAATATACACTAAAATTGCGCTCTAGAATAAATAAGCTGTGCCCGGCAATATAGATTGGAGCAATCGTTTGCTCCAACTTGCACCTGTCGGTCTAAAGAGGACGGCAAGCAGTTTCTGGAACCACAGTCCCTGCTACCACTTGCCTCTCATTTGTCGGTGACAGAATGTGGTGGGAAGTTTCGTGTTCCACTGTATCAATACTAAATTTCTATTTACTCCGTCTAAACTAGCCTCCCGCTATATCTAAGGTAAGGCTTTGCTACGCATCTATGAGTTGGAATGACAAGGATCCGCTCTTTGACCTTCGCAACTTACATGAAACAACCTTGAGCACGCATAATTTCCAGCGTCTTTTTGTGCCAAAGTACTTCTCTCACACATATAAGATGCCTCCCGCTCGGACAACCTCTTTACTTTATGACAACTCACCTTGGAACTAAATAATGTGGAAGAATAATTTAGAAAGATTACAAAAAATGGACTATATATATATATATATATATATATATATATATATATATATATATATATAAACTTTGTTTAGAATAGTATTCCATTGCACGTATAATTAATTTACACTTCACTCGATACATCAAGTGTATGAATATGCGAAACGAGTGAACGTTATAATAAATAAATAATTTCCAATGATTTGTGTGTTTGTTTATCTTAAATAGAATACAGCTCCTAAGTAAAGTTCTACATAGAGTATGTATGTATGAATACATGTAAGTACTTGGCGCGACAGCCCGTGAACGGGCTCAGGCCTACCGGCGACGTCCCTGCCTCGCGGGCATGGGTGAAGGGGGTACGTGTGGTTTGCACATAGATATCCCCATGTCGTATTCCGGTCTCCTCAACCAAAACCAACTCAAAGTGAATTTTCTCATCGTCACACAGCATAATATACTGGGACATTGCAAGGAAAATGCACACTATAGTCTTGGCTCGACTGGGAATCGAACGCGGAGCCGCTATATACAGTGTGTACCCTCTATTATTACTCGAGAATGTAAAATACCTTTGAACTATATTAAAAGAAATTAAAAGAGTGTTGTCATTTAAACGAATTCACGAGAATTTTATAACAAAACGTCCGAAAATAATATTAGAATCCCTACCAAAACATATGCAATACATCAAATGTACACAAAAATGCCTCATTCAAAACTAATATAGATTTTAGTGAATCTGATGAAGGTTTCGTTTTTTCTTAAAAGAAGAAAACACGTAAGTATTCTTCATCCTGGACAACATATTCAGAATTTAGCATAATTACTGAGCAACACCTTGAACCTTTCCTGAAACGATTGCTTCCATTTGATCCATGAATGAGTCGAGATGTTTGACAAACATCCCTGTCGGGAACTGTTTTTTGAGTTTTTACAGTTAAAACATTGTGTAACATTGTGTGATCCTTTGTTGCCATCTTTCTATATTTTCAGCTAGTATGTAATACATCATTTGCTGGGGACAAGATAGTTTAATTAGATAACAAGTTCGTTCTACTGGAAGGAATCCTTAAACTTAAAGAAATTGCGCATATGTATTGCCTCAATGCATCTGAAAGGAAACCTATGAAATAAAATTAACGGAACACCAGTTATATGTAAAACTGAATGCGCGAAGTCATTGCACAGGTAAAAAATATGAAATTCCTTGGAAGTAGTGTATCGTGGTTAGAAGAAATTGATATGAAGAGAAAAGTAAGCCGATTCAACTATTGTGTAGAACAATCCGCAGACCCTTATGAAATAAAACAAGGAAATTGTCTATGTATGTATTGTTAAAGTTATCAGGTTTTCTACCGGATACCTAGTTATGGACAGAGAGATGTTCACTTGTCAACACAGTGTGAGCTAGCACATGAAACCTCTATTATCTTCTACCGTGGTTTGCAGAACACTTTTCCTTGCTTCAGTGTTGTGCCCGTTATTGTTTGGTTTTTATTCGGCATTTCAAATGCGTGAAGTTCTCCTGAAAGCGTTCCATAAGGAGGAATGTAAACATTTTGGGGGCTACGCAAAACCTGGCCGAACGATTTACATACTTTTGAAAACGGTTACATTTAATTCGAATAAAACAAATGACTGAAGTAGAGAACACGTAAACTTTAAGGAAGTCGGTTAAATAGGCACATTGCGCCATTCAGACGAGAGGGGGGAGGGAATGGGGGATAGTTGTGGGGGGGGTAGGGGAATGTTTTGGTGGGCAGGGGTATGTGACAGGTGTAATCAAAAAACACAGTGAATAATTTTATTAAAACAAACTAATAATATTACATAGAACTTGAATTAATCTCCTTCAAAGTACTGTGCTTGGCTAGCGATGCACTTGTTGAATCCAGGACTGGAGGGCGCACGTGTGGTCTCAAGCGAATCGAACAAAGAAGTGGGTCGAGAACGAGAATTCCAAAGCTTATATTTTTCTCATGTTTATAGTTACTGTGATGCAGAAAAGTCATGTTCACTTCAGTTTGGTGTGAATTAGGTATTTTATTTCTGATTATCTGATCTATAGTATCCATAGAAGAGTATTCCAACAGACGCCAAAAGTCAAATTCATATACCCTTGTACCTACGTAAACAAAAAGCGATGTACCAACGAGAAGTTTTAGTGCTCTCCGTCTTCACCTGGCTTTGTAACATCTGAAATGCCGATGCCTTTTTCTAAGGCACCTACCCACAAAACTGACGGTCGAGGGCGAAAATATTGGAAATTGCTTGCAAAATAAAACAGACAAAAAAGAAGACATTTCAACAAAAACCTTCAAACGAGAAAGCAACTCAGAAGGCAGTCAAAAAAATGGAAAAGACAGAAACCTCTCAAACCACTTCTGAAGAATCAGACGATAACTTCTCACTCCAATCATCCAGTGACGATGACTTTAATTCACTAATGGAAGAAGAAGTAGAAGCAGAAAATCTCGCAACTCGGCTTGAAGATGAACATTTTCAGGTTTGAGTACGGTTACGAAAGAAACGACCAAGCATTTTGAAGTTGAAGTACCAGCAGAAGTTGATGCTATCGTAAGTTTCAATATAAAATATCTGAAGAAAGTAACTGCTAGTGACAGCCTGAAATTTGCCTATGATGGCACAGGTGAATATGAAGTCATTACTGAGTACATTTTTATTCAGATCACCTCAACCAACTTCTGTGGGGACAACTGGCAGAAACTTGTCCTCATTTCCTGTGAACGTTTCATCTATACCTTAGGGTAGAAACTACATTGCAGAAACTCTCTGAATTTGCCTATTCTTGTTTGATTCAGTTGGTCATGTATGGAAATGTTTTGGTTGTGATTTTATTTTGCAAGTGTTACCACTTTGATTTGATTTTTGTGATAAATAGCATCAGTAATATTAACATATCTTTTGAGATTGATAAGACCCTTTTGAGAGAAAAAAAACTTCTCTAATTGAGGAATCCTATATTTTTTAACAATTGAGTTTTCAAAGTTTACTTGAAACACAACCTAAAGTACTTATTCGTATTTAACTTGCCTTTAATTTTTACAAAGTTTATCTAGTCAACTGTTTGAAATAAAAAACTTGCAAGAAATGACTGGTTTTCTTTATCTACATATAATCCAACTGTTGTAGGCAGGTACTCATGAGGATGTTCGTAGGTATAACGATACCTGTTCTTATGTGCAACGGGTAGTTGGATCTACGAACACAGAAATTGCTTTAGGGATTTAATTCTTGTGCACCCTAAAAATTATACTTTTGCGCTGTCAGAAATTTACATGCTTTGGGAGAGTCAAAAGTATGAAGGGTGATGAAAAATTTGAGAAAAAATTGCTTCTAGCAGTCATGCAAAATTAAAGTGTAAATTGTATTCGTAGGTACAACGGTTTTCCCTAACGTAATTATAATAAGCAAGGCATGAGCGATCAAAATAATATAAAAAAATTAAACTACTGAAATCATTTTAATGATTGGTGATTGGTGACTTTGGGTGATGCTTAGTGATTGGTTACTCTCAAAGTAGTTAGCATAGTTTTGGCTGACGAGTTACGTTTCTTCCATTCTTCTGATTCTTTGTGATTTGTTTTTTATCGTTGATTGTGTTTACGACGGTGAGAATAAATGTAGTTCTTTATGCGTGATGCCAAAAGGGGTATTTGGCCGTGATTAAGTGGATTCAAAACTATTGATTCATTTCGACAGGGTTTACATGTCGTGTAAATGCTCTATGAGGCTGGCCAAGTGGAAGGAGTTATGTGATTCCTTCGAGTAGAAGCAAAATGACTATGAAATGTTGTTACTTTTGCTTGGGTCGTATCAAACATATACGAAAAATGAAGGACTCGCAATTTGGTAAGTTTCGTTAATTTTTTTCAGAGCGCTTTTCGCAATTTTTGGAGGGAGGGTCTAAGGAGACATCCTACTTCCTCCCTTCCCAGACACGTCCCCATCCTCTCTTCTCCTTCCCCTTCCCCTCCTCCTCTCGCTTCTCTACGATGTACCGTGTTCTCTAATTTAACCAAACAAATTTAGACGCATGCAGTGGATCACTCATGCTGTATTTTGTGGACATTGTAGAGGGTGTTCTTTCTGATATAATCGAGTCAAACTGGCGAGCTTTGCAATGAAGCCATGAAGATGGTGATGGATCTCGTCGAATATGTTTGAAAGGCTGAATATATGGAGGAGGAGAGTTTATAGGACACTATTTTGTCACCATCTGTTTTCAAATCTAACCGAAATAAAAAAAAGCAATCGGCAAGAGTCTATCCTAAAATAGTTTTATTTTCCATACTTGAAGTAGCAAGTCACTGAAGTATATACTGACATAATGCAGAAAATTACAAACTGAATGTGTTAATAGTAATTTTCTGTAATGTCCCATATTACAGTCTCAGTTTCCGGTTTTCTACATTTTGCTCTATTATTTACCTTTTCAAAAATAACAATAACAAGTATATACTGACGTGCTACTTCAAGTATAGTCTCTAAATATGTAAATGATGATACATACAAACTGAAAAATTACAATAATATATTAAATATTAATCTAATAATTATATTTAATTTATAATAATATACGCCAATGGAAAATGTACTTTAAAAATGTTTATGATTTAAAAAATCTTTATTAGTTACTTATCGGGACCTTTCCAGTTTCTAAGAAAACCTGTAGGCGAAGAGCGAAATTTCTTCCTAGGAATCTCTGATATCTTCTGTCACCGTCAAGCTGTGCATGAAAGCATTGTTGAATAAAGAACACATATGTGGGATTCGAACTCATGACCCCTCCACGGAAACTGGAAGTTAAAGGCGCGACCACTTTAGCTACTCAGCTACACAGTTCAGCTATTTCTTTAACAACATTACTGTTTTTCAGCTCTGTTAATTATTTGTAAGTCCAGTCACTCCCAAGTTTAGGTAATGAAGTAGTACCAAATTCCAGCAGTCTACTTGCGCGTATACATCGCAAATTGTTTCATCTTCCTGGAAAACTCCGAGTCTTCTCTATTCTGAGCAAAATGTTCACGAAGATAGTGTCTGAATTGTGCCTGTACTATTACCTTTTACATGAAAGTGTATTTGTCTGTTACAGTGGTGATGACTGTATGGTAAAGTCTACAGTCGCGGAACCTGCACAAAATCCGATATGGAACGCGACTTTCGATTTCCCCAACGTTCCTGGGGAAACGCTCATGGAGAAAACAATCGAGGTGACTCTGTGGGACCACTGCCCGGATCGTGAAAGTGTCTTCCTAGGTGAGTAGTTTTTGCTTTGGTATTTTGTTGTCAGTTACATTCGTGCGTAATGGATGAGGATAAATCTTTATCAGGAATGCCACGTGTCAATGTTCTTGGTATAAGTGTAGCAGAGAAAACATTAAGTTGAAATAAATCCATTTATATAATGCGACCAAAAAAATTATTTAGAGTTTAATGTATCTGTTATTGGCAAAGTAGAAAATAAGGTTTTGTACAAATGGCTAGGTAATGCAGACGATCCCTAAAACCGTTAGTGCGAATACATTTTTTTATTACTAACGTTTCTTAAGGATTACTAACAATAGATAACATATAAAATGCAAAGTATAATATTGGCGTATTTATCACTCGACATGTGGACGCGATCGTGAGTTAAATAATTTAAATATCTATCCTGAATCGTACTATTCAGAGTGATCCATATATTACAATGGATTACAATGTATTATGGCCAGTTTATTACTCAATAGGTAAAGTTTGTTATTAAATGGACTGACGATTCTTCCATGAAAGTGCTTAGCGGTTGATTTTATATTTTTTTAGTATACGTTTATTTGGGGTAGGAAAACATATAAAATGATGTTTAATCAATTATTTTCAACTTAGGAAACCGATTCTGTAATACAGTGATGTCAAGGTCTTCTACTGGTGGCAGTGTCGCGCTTTGTGGTAAGCCGTGGCATGCCACAAACTTCTTAGTGCAACTTGCGCCGAGAAAGGAAACTATCAGTATGTTGGCATGGAAACAGCGGACTGTGTGGACAGTTACCCTATTATGATTGCTAATCCCAACACTTACTTTAAATAGCTTCGAAGGACCACTGTATTTATTGAGGGCGAATACGCACACCGTAGAATTCCTGCGATGAATTACAATGAAGTTGCATTCGGGTGAATCAATAGGTGTAATTTGAAATATGACATATATTTGAATTTAAATAAACACTACATACATTAGATTGATTTAAATACATTTTCTCATGATAATGTTAGATTGAATTGTAAAAAAATGCCATGAGTATTTGTAGAATTGAAACAATTAGAATAAACGTGGTTTGAATTGATGGCTAATGGGGCAAACACGACGTAGAACATAACAGTTTCGTCATACGGAAGTAAAGACACAGTGACATCGATTATGGATGTGGTGGATACAGTGTACACACGGATGGATATCGTGTCGAGATACATCGTCTTCAGCTAGTTGTTGTCCCGTGGGTGGGGTGACGTCATGTGCTCGCCGATAGGCGGGAGAGCAGTGACGCAAGGCGCGGGGGCTCCGGAAGGTGCGAGCGAGAGCGCGCACGGAGACGTGCTCGCGATTACGATAGCCTCGTATGCGGAGCACGATTGGCGATATAGAATTGGTCGTGGCACATGACATACTTAGGCCATGATTGACAGCTATTGAATTGAATTCTTATTTTACGTGGCACTCAGGCCTGCTCTTCCTTCTGACCACGCAAATTTCGCTACGCTCCTTTCACCAACTAGCGGAGAAAGGAAGTATTTTTTGGGCGATTTCAATTTAGCTCAGAGGCGTCATTTAGGCTTGAGGATCTTTTACATGCAAGTAAATCTACTAGCATGGGACAGCCGGCTTTAATTCCCCATCCAAAGGAAGGCGTACACACGTACGTACGTTCGATCGGGTTGGAACCCGCCAACTTGGATACAACAATCCGATACGCTAACCTTTACACCACCGCATCGCATATGCAGGCACAGGAACTTGCCACGAAGTTGGTTTGAAGTATTTTGCGTAGTGCAACATTGAATAGCTTACACATCCACAGTCTCTGGAGTAGAATTACACGTGTGCAATCACAGCATTGCACGTAATTCACTGATCACATGATGGTGAACGGTCACCGTGTATGTTGCTAAGGAAGGTGGCAGAGCGCCGAACAGGTGCATGCGTCACAGTTAATCACAAAATATAATGTAAAATAGTTGTGCGTGTGCAACGCATCGGGATTAAAAGTCCGTACCACTGGGACTGCAGAAGGAAAAAACTCCGTAACTGAAAGGTTAAACTAAATGTATGCTTGCTGTGCGCACTATGAACACGTCAGAGGTAAGTAGCCCAAATTGCACTTAGATGCATAGCGCGGCGTCATAGCGTGTGGCATGAGAGAGCGCAGGAGTGCCACTTACTTCTGTCAGCGTGTGTGGCGGGAGCGCTGGCTACCCGCAGCCGGAATAGAATTCAGACAATCAGAATTCATCTTTTATTGGGTTAAAAGATTAAGAGTATGTTTGAATCATAACACAGGTTTACACGGTTTTGAACCAGAGGAGTTGAAAGCAATATATAGGTTAACTTTCGGCGCTTATTTCGAATTCGCAGTCCGTTTTCGACCATCAGGTCAGGTTTATTAGATACATGAATGAATCATGTTTTGAAATTTTCAACCTAAAAGCTTTAGTTAATTTGGAAGAACATGAAAAATCAGAAATGATGTGCAGTAGAATTGAGTCGATTGTAATATTTTAGGTCCGTCTCACGTATAAGAGACTAACATTAATCGCTCAGTATTTCTTCGTCCCAAAAACCCTTGTAATATTTATCGATTCTTTGTAAATCTTGCTGCAGTCGTTCTCCTTGCTCATCGCTAATTTCACCTAAGTTTCTAGGAAAAAAATCCAGATGGAAATGAAGCAAATGGTTGTTCAACGACATTCAAACTTCCAGTTTATGATAATTCTTCAAAAGCTATAAACAATCAGCTTGTAGTCGTCACTCTATTACCAAGAACGTTTGGAATGACTTCCAGGTTGCTGCTTCCGTGGGCGATAAACATTTGGCGAAGTTGTTGCCCGTCTGAAGTCTTCTAATATCTGGTCCGTCCGAAAACCCCTTTTTGGTTGCAGATTTTAGAAACCCGCTCGACCTAGGTCAAAGGCCTTTACAAATTCTTTATACGATCAAGTTTAATGTGTAAAGGTGGAAGTAACACACGAGTTGGATGAACAAGAGGTGTAGCACAGACATTTTGTTGTCCTAGTATATACTGGCTTCGACTCTGACGAAACTTTAAGATATTTCGATGCCAAAATATTTTGGAATTTATACCGATCACGTTCGTCAAACAAATGTAACTATCATCTGAGTGAGTAATATTAGCATCTGAGTGTGTTCGAATGGGGCAGAATGATCGGTCGCCAAAAAGTGGCTATGACGCATCGTGATATTGCGGCACGAACGGGGCGCTGCTACGACAGTGATGCGTGTGTGGAACCAGTGGATAAAGGATGGTCATACACAGCAGCCAGTGAGTGCTAGTCCACACAATGTGACCACAGCGTAAGATGATTGCCATCTTGTCCGCGTGACCGTAATCGAGAGAAGAGCGTCGTCCACTGTGTTGGCACGACGTTGGAACACTGCAACGAGTGTGGTCATGTCTACGTTGACGTTTCGACGCCATCTGCTGAGGGCTGGATTGGTGACACGCATAACACTGCGTCAGATTCCGTTCACCAGCAATCGCCAACGCCTCAGTCAGCAGTGGGCACGTGGACGTATGTTCATTGGTGTGCTGTGTGGTAAACTATAGTGTTTTCAGACGAGTCCCGCAACAATTTCTGCTACAGCAATGGAGCGTACGTATTCGACGCTACCGTGGTGATCGCAATCTGCCAGCCTGCATTGTTCCGCGCTGTAGTGGACAAACGCCGAGTGTGATGGTTTGAGACGCCATTGGCTACAATGTGCGCTCTCGTCTCATACGTATTGAGCGCAATCTGAATAGCAACCGCTACATCAGGGACGATTTCGACTTTAACATGTCAGGGATATCAGGTCGGCAACTTATTCGTTCTGGTTCTCCTCCAGACACTGTCGATGCTTTGTGGTTACTAGTAGAGCAGCATACCCAGGCTCTCTTTCAATCCAGTCCACGACATCTAGAGCCACTGATAGCAGCGCGTGGTGAGTTCACACCGTACTTAATTCTCAAGGTCAAAATGCCGGTACCGTTCTGTAATTCCAATCATTTGTATATTCTGATATACCTAATCTGTGGAATAAAGTTCATTGCAATAGTATGTATCCTTCTTGGTGTTGCGTTTTTCGCAAAAATCAGTGGAGTTCTCTTTGGTGGCTTTATTTGGAAATTAAACTGACTTTAGGTTCTTTGAATTAAACACTCAGGCGGTGAGCTGGCGACCGTGTATTTCCAGTGCACCTCGCCACGGAACGTGGCGGGCGAGGCCGGAGGCTGAGGGGTGGCGTGTGGTTGCAGGGGAGTGCGTGGTGGAGCTGCAGAAGGCGTTCCTGGAGGACCGGCCCGTGTGGTACCGCCTGGAGGACCCGCGCGGCCTGCGCATGGGCAGAAAGGATAATGAGTCGACGCGAGCGAGGATTCTACAGTATGGATTCGAGACGACAGCAGCATATCTTATCGCGCGCGCGCACGCTCGTGAGCTCGCGCGTGTGAGCGTAGGATGTGTGGTGCATATATACATGTCGATGTATACTTATCTCAGTGTGTGTTGCTCTGCTAGATTAGACCGTTCGCTTGCCGCAAAGAACACGTTCAGTCAGATTAGATCTTGTGTGCATCACTTGCTGTGTCTTTGCGTATTTTTGTACGTAATGTTTACTCCACTTCATGTTGATGATAAAGTCATTCGATTTGGTTTAAGTGCCTAGGTAAGAATTATTCACATCAAGCAAGGTTTCGGGGTCTTTGGGCCCGCTCTATAGTTGAGGACGAGCGTCTGCAGGATCTCCACACGATGAGACATATTAGTTCGAGAGACGGCAATTTAAAATGACCGTCACACTTTGCGTAGGGATATAACGATGTTCGGGAAGAATAAATAGATTTCTCAGTTAAAGAGTTTACGAATACGCAAAATTTAAAGAACATCCGTATTTTACGATTCAAAGATAAAATAGATGTAATGACTTACAATGACTCGCCCTGTATCCTCAGGATGGTTCAGAAATAAAGTGTACATAGGCAGAGGCTCATGTTAGAAAAGAAACTAAACTTTTCTTCAATGAAACTGGGTCTGTAGTAGTAGATGCGTGCCGGAGCTTGGAAGGGCTATGTTAAAGATACGCATCTATCGGCACAATGCACACTCGAGTCGCCAGTTGGCGAAGTGCAAAACTATTCTCAATTAATAGTTATTCGTATTTATAAATGAGCGCATAGATTTGGGTCTGTTTATTACTCATTCATATACGTCAGCAAACTGTATTTTTACGAAATTAAATAAATTTTCCTATAATAAGCAGACTTTAATAAGAAGTACTGGTCAATATTATGCCATAAGGTTTTGCTTTACAAATTTTATAATTCGATATTGCGTATTTCGATGACCACTCATGCATTTTTTATTAAGGTTTCCGCAAACATTTTTTGTTTCCTTTCAGCAAAAAATCTTTTCACGTTTTTTTTAAAATTAAGGGGGAAATTGAGGGCAGAGGTAGGTGTATAGATTTTGCAAAGCGGGCTAGTGAAAAGGCTAGTGAATCTGCTGTGGTCGCGCAGACGGGTGAATCCTGCGGGAGGAGCGAGAGAAGGCCAGCAGCCCCGACTCGGCACCCGGACCAGCGTTGGAATGGCGCTTGTCGGCTGGTAGCTTCGCGCAGGGGCTCCAGCCATCGACGCAGCGCTGAGGTCGAGAGCTTCTCCAGGGGCGCGACCTCCCGCATCCCTGCCCGGCTCCCGGGCGCTCAGCTCCTTAGTATGCGGTGACGTCGCCCGCCTAAGGGGTGGCCCGCCGCCGCACACGCCCCGCCAACACGCCCCGGCGACACGCCCCAAGACACGCCCAAGACACGCCCCAAGACAGCGCCCCAAGCCGATAAGAGAATGCTAGGAGAAATCTGGATTAGACGCGCGCCCACGACAGTCGCGCCCCCACACGCCGCGTGAGACTGAGTAGACAGCATGCGCTCCAAGGATGTATTATGCCAAGACAACGCAAGACATCGAGGATGAGTCTCACGCAATCACGGTATTATATAGTCTTGTAGTGGGTATAGAGACGAGGAACGCTGACTTGTTGTCATGGCTTACGAAGCGCGCAGATGGTCAGTCGCTGTGTGTAGTGAGCAAGACGTAGAGTGTGCGCTCTGCCGCGATACACACATCTTTCTCGAGAAGAGAACAGGACGCGCTGAGATACTCGGGCCCCCAAAGACACGCGAGACGCTCTCCAGGTGAATATCGGCCGGCGTCAGCGCGCACGAGAGACTACTGATAGCGGCACTTAACATGGGGTGTTAGACATTAAAAAGAGTAGCAGAGATAGCGACATACTCTTGATTTAGAGCGAGGTTTACAATTGTTTACTCCCCCACGACACGCGCACTACGAAGCCCACAGACACGGCCAAGGACACGCCCCAGACACGCCCCAGACACGCCCAAGACAGCCAAGACACGCCGAAGGACTCGGGCATAGGACACGATCCTATGCAGAGACCTGCGCCCAAGACACGCACAAGACACGCCCCAGAAGCGAGGATGCGCGCCCAAGAGTCACAGACTAAAAGAGCACGCGACAACAGACACAACGCGAAGTGCAGAGTTAGCAAGGAGTCGGCGTAGCCACGACACGCCCCAGAGACACGCCCAAGACACGCCCAAGAAACAGAACGCCACGACACGCCCCACACAGCCCACAGGCACGCCCAAGACACGCCCCAAGACACGCCCCAAGACACGCCCCAAGACACGCCCCAAGACACGCCCCAAGACTCGCCCCAGGACACGCCCCTCCATACACCTCTCGACATGCCCCTCGACACGTCACTCTTCACAATTAGATGTGTAAATTATGTCGTTTTTTTTAATATGAGTTTGCAAGTGATCAACTTTATTTTTAAAGCGTCGCGAAATGGTGGGGAATTGGTGGATTTCACCAGTCAGGAAAACCTAAACTATTTTTATTGTTAGAGCGTCTCTAGGCCTCGGATTCGTCTTTCGGATGAAAATTGCAAAGAAATTAAATGTACCTTATTGACAAAGAATTCACAATCTATTTTTGCATAAGAGAAATACGAAACCGCTATTGTAGTTCAACAATGTGCAAATTCTATAATACACTTTCAGAAACGAATGCTAAAATAAATGGTAAATACACAATTCAACATTGACAATTAAACACAGATTCCTTTTAAAAAAAAACTTAGTTCTAAATAATTCGATTCTATTAATTGCAAAAAAAACAACTCGTTAATACAATTATATAATTAATTTAAATTTATTCGTGGTAAATATACTTATTATCTTACTTAAAACCAAAGTTTTGATATGTTATCTTCTCAGTATACGTAATTAAAAATCCCAGTTTTATACATTCAAATCGTTCTCTCAGATTAACATTCACATGTACCCTAGTCAAATTACAATCTTCAGAATTTAAGAGAATTAGTTGTGGATGTAATTTACAATGCTTTAATAACTTTTTATTAAGGTTAAGAAAGGTATAAAGAGGTATAAGAAAATATGGAAAACGCTTGGGGCAAGATCCGGAATATAGAGTGTAGCTCAAAACAGATCTTCTGCAGCAGTTCCGCCTGGAGATGTTACAGTCCGGATCTCACCCAAGCGAATTCCGTCATTTCGCCTCGTAGAAGTGTGTTTAAAACCGCCTCCTGGACTGAAGTGGTCATGTATTAGAAAGGAGATAGACCTTGCCATCCCCCCGCTCTCGGCTTCCAGACCCGGAGCTCCCTCCGCCGAGCTACAGCAAGGAGCGCCGGCGCAGTTCGTGCAGCCGCGGGATGCGCGACCCCGACGAGATCCTGCGCAATCTCAAGGCCGTCAAGGGCGAACTCCTGCTGCGGCGCACCATGAGCTTGAGCGGCAACAAACTGCGGAGACGTAAGTGGGCCCCTTCGCGTGCTCCATTTCATCCCAGTAATCACAAACATTGCAGCCTCAAAGAAAGATTCGCACCATCCCTAAAAGAAACCATGATGGAGAGGACGAAATAAAATGTAGTTCTCCATAGTCTCTCCGAATTTCATGAAAATAAATTAATAGTCAATCTTCAGGAATATTAAATGTTTAAATCGAAGTGAAACGGAATTGGATTCTCAACAATGAGTTATTTACTGAATCTTTGGATGTCGGATTCCAGAAAAATATTTCTCAACTTACCAATCTTCTACGCCGTATTATCATTTTTTACGCTTTGCAACATGTTATATTTTCTTCTTCTTGTGTTGATTCACCTTATACACATCCTTATTTTAATGATGATAACTGAAGTTATATTCTGTGACAACGTGGAAAATTATCTTTCCTTCATGATGCACAATCCAGTTTGCCCTTCGGATACTTTTATCGATAGTAGCAATTGCGGAAACGTAAACCTATTCTACTCTTCATTTCTATGTCTGATTGTGTCATTTTCTATTACATTAACAATCGCTTTACATCACATTTCAGTAAAAGTTAGTAACAATTTTAGTCAGCTACTTGACGACTCAGATTTGTAGTACATAAATGTACAACAACTTTCCGCTCCGTAGTTCATGCGATGTTGTGAAGAAGAATCATTGTGCACTGAAATTTATTTTTCAGCAAGCAGATTGTTCTTCAGTAAAATCAATTTTACCATGTACCAAATTCCTTTTTTTCAGTAAATTATGATATACAGGTCTTTATTTTATGTCGCAATCCGTGACTGCCAGCATCTACGCTTGTTATGGCAATTTGGCAACTTTGTGAAGTATCTTTGACACCTCATTCACCTTGTGTAGTTCGATGCCTTTAGGTTACGGGGTAGATGGATATAGCTTTAGTGTACTATACAGACACCTCGAGAAGATAGAAAAGAATAGAAAAGATATGGGAAAGATTCCTACGGCTGTAAGGAAATCTTGTTACTAAATTAAGTCATCTTGAATGTTTTATGGAAACGAAAACCTTATTTAAGCATGGCTTGGGTTGACTTCCAGAAGGTTTTCGACAATATCCCATTCGATTGGGTTTGAAGACCCTGGATCGATCTCATCGTAGACTAAGTGTTTTCTGTTCTTAAAGCCAATGTCTTCAAAATACTGTTTGTCGTTAATGATTTTAGCAATATTTGCATGAAACTTAGCCTTGACAAATATACAAGAGTCAATTTAAAGAGAAGCAAAGTGACAATGTCGAATATCGTTAAAATTAATATGCACACTGCGATTCAAGATCTTGGTTCATGTAAAACTTACAAATAACTGATCATTGCAAAAAGATCTGGATCGTCACCCGGAGAGAAATTGCAGGGCGTATTACAGAGAAATGAGATTTGTCCTGCAGTTCCCTCTAAACTCCAGAAATAAAATATCTGCAATAGATAGTTTGGCGGTGCATGTAGCCGAGTACAGTTTCGGACTCGTGTACTGAAGTGAGCAAGAAATTTGAATCATGTATCGAAAAGAAAGAAAACGGCTCACAATGCATCATGCCGCCGCAATAGCAAGAAACATTGCGAAGAAAACTATGCAAGACACGCAGAATAACACACTGAACTAATGGTGCTACTAAGCATGAAATGTGGGACACAAAAATATGTTTCAGAAATCGTGGTGAGACACACCACTGCATGGACAATATTTAAAAATAGTGGACAAAGTGCAGATCAATGAAGATCAACTAATTACGCGGCTTAAAAGGGGAAGAATGAAGCCAGAATCGGAAACAGTTGTAATAGCAGCGAAATATCAGGCGTTGAGAACACGACATTTTGATAACGCAGTTCTCAAAATTTGCACAAGTAGAAACCATTGATCATATCGTCTCCGCTTGTCCAATTCTAGCAGAGTCCGAATACCTGAAGAAACACAATAGGGTGTGCAGTTACCTCCACTGACAGATCTGCAGCGCCCTCGAAGTTCCAAACACGTGCTCCAAAAGGCACAAACACTCATCAAAACCGGTGACGTCTGTTGCACTGTGTAGAAAATTGTACGACCAACAAATTCAAACTGATACGCACGATAGCGGCAAACAAACCGGATATTGTTGTCCGGGATTTGAAGAACAAACATATCTACCTGTAGACATAGCTGCGCCGTGCGATCAAAATGTCGTAACCAAGAAGGCAAAGGAACTTCGTAAATACAAGACTTTGGATATTGAGATCAGTTGAATGTGGGGCTTAAAAGTACTGGACGTCCCGATAGTTATCAGAGCTATGGGTTTTGTTCCAAAAATTTGTGTAAGAACTTGGCTAAACTCCCAAGTCATTCAAAGACTGGGAAGTGCAAGACGTTCAGACACATTCAGAACAGCCCACCCAGTAGAACCTGCCGATATATATATATATATATATATATATATATATATATATATATATATATATATATATATATATAAATGGTTTACTCTGTCCCATCGTCGTGTAAGCGTTCTAGACACCAATTAATGATAGTAGTGATATTGCTCATGTGCTCTCTATAAACAAGACGTCTGGAACGTGACTGCATCGCATCACATGATTCTCGAGTGAAACTAATTTACATCAAATAGTGGAATTTAATGTGGGAACTTGGTATTGTTAAGTTGTGAAATTATATGGAAACACTACATTGTTTTAACGTTTGATTCAAGAATTGTGTCGAACAATTTTTTTGCTTCTGATAATTTAATATCAATTTTCCAACTCGATCTATTTCATTAAAAATCTTGGAAGAATTTCCAGTATAATCAATGAAACGATGAAGAACCGCTCGCTCTCTCATGTGTTTAAGATTTTTGAGAACTTATTTTTTGTAGTTTATTGATCGACATCTGTAATATTGGGAAGGAAAGATTTTTTAAGCTGAAACCTGGAACCAAGAACATCCTTTTAATATTTTAGTGTTTTTGTATTGTTTTTTAAGTTTTAAATTCAATTGTCACCTCTAGGAACATCTTTAGTTAAAAATCAATTCTTAGGCAAATTGGAACAATCTCACCTGTATGAATCGTCTATGTATGTTTCATTCTCTGCCTGCCAACTATCTCCAATAAATAAAAAATATTTCTTCTGAAATTTTTCTTCACGTCTAAGACAAAAGCGCCGATAGTAGTCACAGGCAAGAGCATTTTCGTAGTTTTTTTTAAATTAATCAAATTAAATGAATTATTAAATACTTCATTTTGAAACTACTGAGACTGTCGTGGTTACGTGGTGAGGATGTTCTGGACTACGAAATGGTGATAAAGTTGTTTGAATTTAATTGTACCAATAATACACTGAAAAATAATTAATCTGGACATTTATTTATTCCTTCACACTCTCACAAACGTCGTGTGCCATCCTACCACATGATTGTGCCAACCTGCTCCAAAATCTGTACCAACACTCCCAACAAGTGAGATTAATTGGCACACATTGACTTGATGACGTGTAGTGACTCTAAAAGGTCAACTTTCAAACATTCACGAATAAAAAATACTATAAGGTAGCCCAGTAAATGTAGTTCCCATTGATTCGACCATACGTATCAAACCTAACTGGAGCTGTGCAAAAGGTAAAAATTACTAACTGGCACCAACCAGTCCCGGTGTCCCCAAAGATGTTTTTTTCGAAACTTCATAAAACAAAATCCTCAGAATTGTCAGAAGCAAAATACTAAATTTTTGGCTCGTTTAGATGAATGTATGATTATTACACACTCTGTAACTACTATATTCGCTCAAAACTCACATCAAACCATTTTTTTAAAGCCTATAAAATGAAATTCAAAATACCGGCCAATTTTTCTTTTGTCATTTTTTTAAATATTAGAGAAGCTTTCCCGTATGCAACCATTTTCAATAAACGATTCGTTTTCACATTATCAACGTGAATTTAGAAAATAAAAATATTCGGATATAGTAATACTTTATTTTCTAAATGATGCTTTTTCAACAGGTCAAAATGAGGAACGACACAAGATTTTACTCATTTTAAATATTGATTTATACTTTCGTTTATAATGTGTGTATATCATTCATATATTTTGCAAGATTAAGATTTTATCTTTCTTTGTTGACTGAAAGATGTGCTTCAATAATATGTTGTCTTGCTTCGTTGTGTAAAATTTCCCACCACATGTTAATTGGCAAAGTGATCGTCTTCGACCCATATACATGTCCTAAAAGTTTGTAATATTTATTCTGAGACATTCTATATAAAAAACATAGAAACTCAATCAGCTGCTGACATAAAAGGTACTGTGAGAATTGTAGTAGAGAAGGGAAGGTAAATCTGGGACTGTGAACAATATAGAATTAAAAAGTAAATTATATTACGAGAACAAACATACTGAGTATTGACAGCGTGGAATACAAATTCACTTTCGCCATAGCTTATCATTAAAAGAGCTATAAATTTAAAGTCTCCCCTCGACAATGTATTAAGTCTCCCTCGCCCTTTCCTAACATGCTTTCGCCTGACACCATTGTTTTATGCTACATATAGAATTTGCTGGTGCTTCTCAATACTTAAAACACATTGAAAATTTTCACATAGTTATTTTGTTTATAGCTTTATTTTATATTTTTTTCTAATGAGTAAGGGTATGCTTTTACAATTATTAACGAATTTCTTATACGAACAATACATTTTTTTGTCGAATTGAAATGTGGAAGTAAGACCGAAGAACAATATCTCTGATGCTCTAGAAAATAGTGACATTTCTGACTTGTTAGAAACTAAAGTTTATTGGTGAGATTTATAGAATCTGTATCAGCACACCAAATATTGTTGATGAAATCCATCTTGAGCCTGAATCAGAAAATTGTAAACAACTAAAACTTTCAAATAGAAGAAGAATTTTGACTTCTGTATAAGTTGTACTGCTCAAAAAATTGTAGATAAGGATGAAAAAAATCCGAAATATTTTTACCCGTTCTTTACTGAAAGATACTTTTGACTTATTTGAGAAAACCAACGTTTATACAATTTAAAAGGTGGGCTCATATAAAATTTGTAATCCGACAGAAATCAGAAAACTTTTTGAGGAATACCTAATGGTCGGTTCTTTGAGACTACGCTTTGTACTAGGAATATCACATTCTAATTTGCTAATAGCATAATACATATAATACAAGGCAACAAAAAATATTCAAGATCTTGAGCGACCACATGATTATGTAAGTTTCTCAACTAAAAAACGATAAGTTAATATAAAAAGTTTAAATCCATGAAATAAACCGTGCCAGAAAGGGCCAATAACATTTTCTTCAACTGACACATCACTCTTGACTGTCAAGTGTTAAAAGACACTTAATTTTTAACAGATACGTGTTTCTGGACACGGCACTTCAGAATCAGTAAAATGCAATTGGTTTTCGACTAATGTCTCGAGGGAGGTGGAGATCGAAGTCTTTCGTATGAGAAAAATAATTACTGTAAAATATTGTAGTGCCTCTAAAGACAATTTTTGTTAGAGTATTACTTTATTCAGTCTCTTAGCATTCGAAAGACTTTCACAAACGTCTTGAAAACAATAATGAAAAAAATCGCATATCGTGTGTTTAAGATTGTCTTTCATATTTTTATGTAATGTTTTATCTTCCAACAAGTGACTTTCAAGCATGTATTTAGATGCACTTCAATACAGTGTGGCTTGAAAATTTCTCTTCTTATAATCTTTAACTCTAAAGTTTATAATTTGCTTCTTTCTTTTGTAATATGTTTAATATTTTCTTTCCTCTTCCTTGTGTATCCTCTAGCGGACAAGATGTAGCTCACTTCTCTGGTAAGAGTTACTCGTTTTCTGTTTCATATGATGTCTAGTCATTCCGATGTATCGATGTATTTTTAATAAATGTGGTGCGAATGTCTGCTCTTCCCTCTTATGATTGTTTTTATAGACGTTCTACCTGCAAGCAAATCTTGTTCGTGTATATGTGGCTGAGTATCAAGGTGTGTTCCTTTATGTGGCTTTTCATGTCCGGTGACCCTCGCTTTGTTAAGCCGTCCGACTGCCGCTGCTAGACTGATGACTATGCGCTCGCCAGCGTTCCACTGTCCCCAGCCCTTGTGTCCGCTTCCTCCTGTGGCTTGCAACAGCAGCTGCGATACTCGTTGGCTATGGTAGTCGACAGAAAAAGTGTTTCCACTTGTAGTTTTGGTACTTAGATGTAAATGTGTTATTTTGAATTCAATGTATTTTATGGGTCAATTTTAAACGAGCTAAAATGTATTTAACGAAGCCGATGGCCTATATGCTTGGGTAAGTAAACTGCAAAATATTTCATTTGCCAAAAGGGTCGTAACAAACACACACAAATGCATTAGAGAAAAAATTCCCTATGGTGTAACTTGAGCTCTTCTAAGATATCGTCGTGGAAATGGTATTTCAATTATTTTAGTGTTACTGAAGTGTAATTTAAATATTATTAAATTGTTACTTAAAATCTATCAAATTAAAACCCCCTTCTACCCCAAACGCCCCACAAAACTGATGAAACTTCTTAAGCCTTTCGTTCCAGCTAGTTTGCAGAGAAGGAGAATAAATTCTCCGTAAGTCTATTAGAAATAAATTATTTTTGTGTAAATATATTGGAAAAGTAAGAATACCGTTTTGAAATTCATGAATGTTCATAGAATTAGTGTTGAGTTTTCTATTGTAATCAATTAAGGCTCTCGAAAGTAAAAAATTGTATCCCGCATTTTGGGCGAAATGGATTTTATAGATTTTTGTAAAGAGGAAGTAGATCTGTCTTTATTCCTGATGATTTCAAGAAAGGGTAAGAAATGGCAGTAAAAATTAGATCGGACGTTGTATCATCTCCTTACGTGTAAAATGGAAGATTATTATTGAATTTCCCCTTCGAAACGTGGGATATTAAATAATCATTATTTACATGGAATGCCTCAATTTTCTTCGAGGAAAAGTTGCATTTCCAAAAAAGTAAAATTGTAAAGAAATATGAGTTTTGAAAAAAGGATATTTTAAACAAAAAACGAATGTAATGTGGAATAAACTAAAAATTCGACCACATCAACTGAAAATATATAGATAGTTGTACCGAGTGTTTCAGTGAATTGAACAACCCACAGCAGCTGAGCATCGTATCTCTCGGGATTGGTATTTAGGCTCCGTCGTCTTCCTTCTATAAGTAAATGACATGTCCTCGATTAGAAACACTTATTTTCGTTAATATTCTAATTTTTGTGTAAAAGAACTATTAGCACTACCAAGTCAGATTTTCAAATTTCGTAATAACTTGTATGTAACGGAAAAATGTTTGAATGTAATTTCAAACCTGAAATCATACCTGAAATGGAATGACAATATAAATTAATGGAACGTTAAGATTAGTTCATTATGCTACACCTTAAGGATTCTTTCGAAGTTCGTCTGTCTGATCGATGAGTGAATTATGTAAATGTCCTGCATTATGGAGTGGGAAAATGTTCCGGGGAAACAGATCGTATGTCTTTACATTACCAAAGAAATTGAAGGAGAAATGAGCAAATTCTCTCCCCGTGTTTATTGCCAGCTTTTTATTGATGTTGGAATGTTACCGTTATCTTCCCTCTTGTTTATGTGCGATTCAGTCATTTGTCTAAACTGACTTACTGGAGGCGAGCACCAATATTCATGCAATACATTTTCTATATGTTAGTTAGTTAGTCATTCTTCAATGACTGAGGAATCTGTTTGATCCAAAATAGAGAATACTATCGAAATACTGGAAATAAAGGAAGGGAAGCATTGCTTAAGGATTAATTTTGCTATATTTTGTTTATAATGCTATATTTTTAAAGCCCATCATCTGTCACTAGTGCTGAATACTTTTATCTCTTAAGAAAATAGTGCTTCCTTATGTGCAATATAAAAATTCTGCCGCTATACGTTAAAGTTTGCGTACTCTTAGTTGACAGAATGTCGTAAAAAACAATCTGTCAACGGAGGTTTTAGGGATTATTGTAATTTTCAAACCTCATAGAGTGCGCCCATTTACTGATTTCCATAGGTAATAGTAGATGATTTTCTTAGAAGCTCCAGCCAACGAGTCTCATACACTTCTGCTTATGCCTGCTCGATACGTTCAGAAAACTATAGAAAGTGTGTATTACATGAATAAAGGACCGATTGTCAACGATAGAAAGTTGTCTTCAATAATTCTGTACTGTATTAAACAATGTGAATGTCTTTGTGCCAACACTGTTAGAGACCAGCCTTACGGCATCGCGTTACTGTTCCGAACTAATGGTGTTTGGGAGGTCGTTGGTTCGATTCCCGCCAAGTGCCGAAAATTTGATTCATGCGTTTAGCGTCGGTTAGTTTGAGGTGCCTGCCGGAATCGAATTCGTAGGGCGACTGGTCTGAACTGTAGTTTCCCTGATCGCTTCTAAGTGAATGCCGGAGTAGCACCCTAAAATACGGGCCACGGACCCTGCGCAATCCTTCCGTCCCTATTCTGTCCCCGTTCTTAGGGCTGAGCGATCAGCTGTTCTCTTACCTTCCCACGGCTCATGTCTCTAATCTAGAAATAACCTCCGTATAGTGTTGGAGGTAGACCAAGGCAAAACTGTAAGAGCTGATGAACCATAAAAAGAAATTTATCTTTGTACGTAAAATGCAGTTTTACATAAATTGTTCCTTTTACCAAGATCCTCTTATTTCTGAACTCTTTTCACAATTCATTCATCGCTAGAAAACATATGACGTATGGTCTTGATACCTCTTTGTATTTCTTCGCTACTGATGTGTAATGTGAAATTAATGAAAACTCTCCGACGCGGCAACATTAGCTCTTTAATTTCGTACACATTTCTATGATATGCGCAGGATATTCGTTCTAGATGTAAACAGAGTAATGAAGATTTCGTGGGGCGTATCCCATGGAAAATTCAGTTTTGTGGAAATTCAGTTTCAAAGGTTTTACATTTATTCAAATATTTACTTTTTCGACAATTTGAATGTATTACTTATATAATCTAATAAGTATATCTTCTAGTATTATTAACTCTGAATTTTTAAACACTTCATAGTTGGAAGAATTAAATTCTAGACATATGTAAAAAAGAGCATAATTTTCATTTGAGGACTTTAAATTATGCTATAATAATTATTTTTGCAATAATAAAGTTACTTGTATGTTAATTTCAATCAGGGTTTCTACACCTGATCTGTGATTTCAATTTGCAGCAAACATCGAAACATTTGATACGAAAAGACTTTCATTTAATAAATATTTTATTAAACAATTCAAGGACAATTTTGACTACAAAATAACTTTCCATTAATAATTGGTTGTAAATATGTCTACTAATTTTCGATAATTTTCTGTGTTATTGAGCAATATGTGTATTTATTTTTTTTTAATTTTAGGGTTTAAGATCAAATGCTTGGACTTGGCGCGTATTCTATTCCTGAGACTTACCTCAAATGCACTATTTATATTTTTCTTCTGAAGCGAAATATATCAACTATATGTAAATATTTGGAACTAAATGTGCACCTTCGCCTTCTCGAAAAGCTATGATACCAAGGATATTTCCCTATTATCGTCATGTTCGTATGTAACTGGAAACATTTTGAGTGTTATTGTGATATTTCCCCAATTTTGCAGTTTTCAAAAAGATGATTGCCTCAGTATCATCTCTCCTAACCCCTGCCCTCATCGTTGTTCCCGGCTCCCTTGTGCCCTGTTTCTCGTGAGATGCTTATCTGCGTGCTGTTGTGCAGGAAGCAGGGACGCGCAAGATGCGATGATGGATGTGCCGGAAAAGAACACCAGCAGCAGCCCCTCCGACGACGAGGATCGGTGGAGGTAAGTGATAATCTTCAACATAAATACATGTTGGGAGGATTGTTTGTACTCTTGAAGGAAAAGGTATGCAAAATATAGGAGTATGCGGGCGCTTTATCACCCTTTACCTCCGATAGTGGCCGGCTGTTCTGCCGCCAGACAAAACGAAACATACTAATAATCATTGCAGGTCCTCAGTGCAGTGTTGTGATCCTGGATTGTAGAACTAAGGATCGAAGCTAATCAACTTCGACTTAGTACCGATGTATTTCGTAATTAATGAGGGGTAGTGTTTGAGAGTCATGTGATGATCTAAATAACGCTTTCAAAACAGAAGAGAAAACATTATAAGCTCTGAAAGTATATTGTACAACAAATGTACTGGTCAAAATTGCTCAGAAATGGAAACGATATCAATTCAAATATAAAGGTTAAAGAACAATAATAGACAAACATAACATGAGCATCAATTCAAAGTTTTGACCAACACCAAATTTATGGCCATTTTCAGGAGAAAATATACAATGTATGACATAAAAGCATTACAATCTTATAATAAGATTGAAATACAGAGTGAACTCCACCTCACATCTATCTTAAAACATGAGAGGAAAGGATATTGTGTGAGTAAATAGTATGCATTAGCATAAGGGAGTGTGATATGCTAGTAAACAAACTGCAAACATCCGCACGTATCAATATATGATAATTAGGAATCCTAATATTATTAAGTAAATTATCAAGTTGTAATACATTTTTAATCGTATGATTTTCTTGTTTCAACATATTATTTAAACTGTCAAATATATAGGTATAGAAAGATTCTCACTAATAATACTTTTAAAGACTTTTTTAAAACTTATTTATTGACTGTCAAAAAGAAAAATAGTATGTTAAATTGTGTTAAATTATTAAGAGTTTTCTTGTTAAATTGTGTTAAATTATTAGAAGTTTTCTACAACTATACCAATTCATTAAACAGAAACCTCCATTAAGATGTATTATTCAAATAAGATTAGTAAGGTTGAGTTTACTGGCAACTACTGGCAGAGTAGGCTAGCTGCAGAGTACGATTAATTTGTTGTGGAAATTCATTTTGTGGTTTGTACAGCCGTACATTTTGCAAATGCAACCCTATATAAATTAGTATATGTTTCCCTCTCGTGCTGTAATCTTTAAATAGTTTCGATGGTAAATGAAAATTTTCTTTCAAATTGAAATTATGACATTTCAATTCCTTTCATATATATATATATATATATATATATATATATATATATATATATATATATACTTTTAAAGTAAGCCAGATCTAATGGATAATATCCAGTTTTGAAATATCCAGTTTTATAATATTTTGAAATAATGTTTAGCGCTAGAACTGTTTGCACGCCTTCACCATTTCATTATTTATTATACCTTCGAACCCCAGTATCAGAATATTATTACTACTATAGTACTATTGGAAGACTACTCTGTGCATTTGCCAAAGGTATGACTGTACAAACGTGAAAAAAAGTTGTGATACATACCACATTCATTCTCGTATTATTGAAACGTTTACGTTAATTTATAATAATACATGTGCGAAAACGTTGCACCTTTAAAATCGATTGTGTATGCTATTAAGGCTGGTAACAGGTTGCTTCATGGAGATCGCCTCACTGATCAAATACATGTCTCTGCGAGTGTTCCGAAACAGCAAAAATAGTTCCCCTGAAGGTGATTGCACTAGACCGCGCAGGTTTTCGCTTCAACATGCTGGCTATTAAGCCATGAGAATTTAACAGTTCATTGACTCAGACGCGACTATGAAAATATTTATTTAATAACTTTGATTCATCAAAATCCAAAAATAATAATGAAATTAGCACTTGAGCGACATAATTCAGTGTCTTGTGCTCTATCCTTACAATAATGTTGGAAGAACAAATTTGGATACTTTTCGAATAAATCTTGCTTTCATATTTGCAGAAATGATTTGACTAAAAATTACCTGAAAACAACCGCTATTTTAAAATTTTTTTTAAAAGATCCCATTTTTAAACATTACTTTGGACTCAGAAATAAATATTAGCTTCAATAATGAAGACGTGGTACAAATGTGGAAGAAATACGGACTAGAGCAATTTTCGAAAATTGAGAACTTTTAATAAAAATCTCATCTATAAACACCCTTCGCACTATTATAATACTACATATTTTTAAATGGAAGGAGTTTTTAAAAACGACATGAAAATAACTCCGAATAAGTAAAAGATCCGTGTGAAATTCATAGAACCTAGAATTCGGCTACATCGTTTGGGAAAGACCCCTTGAAAATCCTATGAACGGTTTAGACGCAAGTGTCTTTCAGAGTGATTGAGTTTCGAAGAAAATATTTTATCGTTATAAAGAGCTGAAATAATCTGATTTCCGTAAAACATGCACCATCGGTTTTTCTACAGTATTGCTTAATTTTATTTATACTCCTTATAAAGAAAAGTACATACACGAAAAAGTGTACAATTAATGAATTGCTATTACAATGGCAATTAACTGCCAGACTTTTTAATAATTGCTGTATATTATAATCACGTGCGCTGACTTCACACGATACCAGAGCCTGACACTTGAAAAAATGGCATAAGAATTAATTTTAAATTAATTGCCACATTTTCGAAGTTTTCGTGTTTAATTAATTACAAAAACTTGAGTTTGATGCTATCACAGCACAGACGCGAGCTATTTAAGAGTATTAATTGCTAATTACTTACATATTTCGATGAGTTGTCATTTATTTGAAAGAGGTTTGCAAATCTGTATCTTGTGGACACAAATTTTAAAGTTATTTGTGACGGCAGAAATGGTAGGCGAACAGACTAGCATCAAGAACTTTTCTTCAGGTGCATCAAGACTTTGTCATGCCTCCCGGAAAGCTCGTTAAGTGTGTCCAAAAAGCACTGAAAACATTGTTCTTATGTTATTCATGAGTTGTGATCATGAACAAGTATGGCGTTGAAAAGTAATTGCATTAAAGTGAAGCGGCTACGTGGTATAGGTATCTTACATTCCATCATTCGTTTTTCTAAAAACAAAGTGTCAAATTGAAAAAATTCCTTGAAAACAGTGGGGGCTCTCTTTTAACTGATGTGAAATGAAAGTTTGATTCAGAGTAATCGAGTTCTCCTGGAAATATATCGGAATATGACAATCACAATGCCAATTCCTCTGATGCATTTTGTTTCCTACATCATCGTCATTCGACCTGCTCGGGGTTGACAATGGCGAGTGCACGAGATGAATAAGAGGGAGCAAAGGGGGAATGGGGAGCAGATGAACGAGCGAACCTGCCGCGAAATCGCTTTGCCCACTCCAACTGTCAATCGCTGGACCGGGAATGCAGCCCCTGCCAGCGATGGGAGACGAACTGCTACGCTACGGGTCGCCTAACACCATGGATAGAGTTCCCTTGACAAACGATAATCGTGTTCCCGAATATATTAGCTCCTAAACACTATTAATTAGATCGCTGGTGAGGTAGATACCCTCTATTATTATGATAAATAAATGACGTGGTCTGGATACCAGACATCATTTATTTACCATCGTAAACACTAGTTTACGTCTTGAAAACGCTTCACCCCAAGCACACGACTAAGAATACTTCCTACATTAGTGATACCATTATTTCAACACATCAAAATGTAATTGACATGAAATACAATGCTTTTGCTTCCAGTTAAATCAATGGGATATATTATAGGCTTCAGAAGGAACAGACTAAACTTGTAAATTCACATATCAGCATAGAATATTAAGCACATCCTCTCTGAAGTGGGCCAAAGAGTGCCTTCTTGAGTGAACACTCTATATTCTCTCTCCACAGCTTCTCTGACATCTAAGAACCTTCATTTGTGCTCTCCTTGCTTCGCGGCCAATCTGGATGTTCCAAGACGTCGTCGTGATGTTTCGGGGACTCCATGAATATCTGTTCCTTGATGAAACCAGAGATCTAATATATGTCTGTTTAAACTTCGTATAATTTCGCAAAGCCACTGCTACTTCTACACCAACCTAACTCGCCTGTTCACTAGAGCGAATGTTTCGTCAAAGTCCACTTCCATTCTCAGATAAACCAACGTGTCACCACTCGTGCTTTTCTCTTGTCCACAACTCCTTCAGCACCACATTTGTTTTGGAGAACAAACATTCTCCCTTTTATCTTGTGTATCTCTGAATGAAGTATAAGTTGGATGAAGCTGTGGTTATTGAGCAACAATGTAGCCTCTGAAGCCATCAAACTCTTCCAGTAAGTTGCGTCGATTCCTTGTATTTCCTGTGTTAAGGAAATTTCGTCAGTACAAGCGAACTCCGGCTCTGGGTTAAATCGGTAGCATTTGTTGAGTGGTGTTCCACGTAGATCCAATCCCATATTGCATGGTCGTTGGACGAGTCCAAGGCGGCTCCGTCTCAAGATTATTGTCTTCCGACGGACGATTGTGTCATTTACATCCTCAAATCTTCACCTCCAACTTTCTGATGTTCAATTCGATGTCGGATTTCGCTCTGCCAAATGGGTTGCCAACTGATGCTGCATATTCATCTTCTAAATAGAAATCTTCCAAATCTGATCTCAATACTTCGCTCATTATTCTTAAAATTAACATGCGAGTGTCTTCCACTTGTCAACATTCGTCCAGCATGATGCGATAACCTTTGCATAGTTCCGACCCAACCTCATAAATGTTCATTTTCTCGTTCGAACGTCAAATTTTCTCATCCCAGGTGCCCTATTCAAACAAAATACATCAACCAAAATCAGAGGAATAGCTCAGAGAGGTAGTAGTTCAATTCCACAGTTCATTCAGTGTTTTTCTGCTTAATATCTTTGCTGGACAATGGTTTCTGAAGAAGCAGATAATACAACTGTCATCAGCCCAATGTTGGGGAAACAAACCAGACTGCACCAAAGACATCAAGCAGATTACTCCACCATTCTGTCTTCAACATCATTTTGCTCAGTTGTATCATCTGAAGTA